AACATCACAATAGACATTTATACACCATTCGATAGCCCTTTTCAAGGGCTACATTCTAGACTATTTGTTTTTGAAAAAGGAGCAACTTCGATTTTTCACCTAATGTCCGCCTAGATGCCCACTGTGCGTTACCGACGCTTCGGTAACAACTTCAAATTTTTCCCGCCATAATTTGAAACCGGTAAAAAATCTCGAAATTTTACCGCGGTAAACTTCGATAAAAAAACTGTTTTACCGTTACCGACGGTAATTTACCAAAAAAGTCAAAAATTCAAAACAGTAGTGGTAAAAATTCGGTAAAATCAATTTTCCAAAAAACAATTGATAAAAATAATTTTGTTACCGTTACTGGCTTACGGTAAAAACTTAAAACTTTTACCGCGGTAAACTTTGGTAAAAATATCCTTTACCGTTACCGCTCATGTCTAGAAACTAGAGAAAAATGTCAACATGGGCAAATACTTTTTGTTCTCGCAAAAGAAGTCTTTCGTTATCAGTACTAAAAAACCTATAAACGGTGATTCGTAAACTTTGCAACCGTATATTTCCTAATACACAGCGTTTTGAAAAAACAGGTATCGTTTTTCGGAAAACAGAATATACGTGCACCATTTGAACTTATGTCGGTTAACACTGTTTCTTCCATCTAGCCATATCGCACTCAAGAGAAACTTGAGATAACTTATATTCCTCGCGAATTAGAACTCATTTACAAACAACTTAAAAAAAACATTTGTCTGGCGACGAAAATAGCTCCTAGTTGACACGCCCAAACACTTGCTGGGAGTGCTAATAGCGCCTTGTTGACACTCTCGGTAGTGCCAATAGCTCCTTATTGACAGTCCCGGGAGTGCCAATAGCCATTCCGAAAAAATAAACATCAACGATCTCGAGATGGTAAAAGTGGCTGATGTCGATAAATGTGATTATGCCACGATACAACAGCCATGTGGAAATGAAAATATTAGTCAGTGCCCGCATTGTTCCAAATATTTTTGTTCGATTCATATTGCACATCATAGAGACGTGGTTTCGCTGAGTTACGCTAACTGGAACTTTTGGTGCTGGAAAGCGAAAGGAATTGATCCGATTTTTTATATACTAAAGGAACGTAGTCAAGTAAAGTTGCATCGTACAGTTTTTCATTCTCCCAGTGATGATTAATTTTAACAGTGCTGTTTCTAACAGCTTTGCAAATGCTGTTTCTAACATTTCTTGTTCCTTTAGTTGTTAAGCCTTGCATTGACTATAAAGTTGGAAACACGAGGTGATCAGATACAAATGCAGTATGAACGATTATTAGACATAGCCATTTACATCTTTTATTTGTATGCAGTGTATTATATAGGCTACAAGTAACGCGGTATATTGTCTTTCCACTGTGCTGTTCTGGATTCGCATTTCTGATTTTATACTTAAGCTATCAAAATAGCTTAAACATTTTATGGTTAAGCTATGGAAACAGTGTGGTGAGACCAAACATTCGATGCATATTCAATATCACTTATTTCTATAACGATCACAAAATTCTTACATGTTTTATCAGTTATAATAATTACTTGTTGGCTTGTGTAACAGAAACCCTTGATGAACGTACAGATCCGACAAATATTTTCTGAATAGAATAACCCTTATTTCATTAAGACTTTTGTCTTGTATGTTCCCATTTACTTTGTGACATTATATCAATATTAATTTGAATACTTTGAGGTTTTGATATGATGTAAAGAAGAAAGAGCTTGCTATTTTTAAGAATTTCGCTTATGGGTTGTCTCATTTTACTGTACGTGTTTTCTAGGCGCTTAAACTAAGTTTTCAAGCGTGATAAAGAATATTTTTGTGAATATTTTGTTGTTGTTGTATAAATATTAAATAAATATTAAAGATTTGATTAACCGGTAGATACTTTGATTATTAAAACAACTTTAAAAATATTTAACACATATACATGACAAACCAAACGTCTCGACTTCTTTTAAATTGAGGTCTTCTTTAGTGAACTTAATAAATTATGTATAAAAATATATAAAAATAAAAATATAGTTAAAATTCTGTTACATATAAAGTGTGTAGACATGAGCATGGTCAATAGAATTAATACTAGCAATAGTGGAAAATTTAATAATAATGACTGATGGTTTAGAAGAAATTTTAAAGAACAGTTGCTATCCTAAAAGAATAAGGACAAAAAATTTTCAAAAAGTAGGTAAGAAAATTACTAAAGAGGAGAAGGGAGAAAGTACAATAGTTATCCCTCATCGATATTTGTTAACAGAAAAATTAAGAACATATTTAGCCAAATTTAATGTTAAAATCCACACCACGTTAAATCGTAACATAGGATCAATGCTAAATAAAGCAAAGAAAATCGCACAGAAAGATTGTGTTTCGTATCGAAAGAACGAATGTAAACGTGGTCAAGACAGTGTATATGGTGTACCATGTTCATGTGGTGGTATTGATATCGGAAACACCTATTCGTTTAAAAGACGAGTAAAAGAGCATATGTGAAAAGTTAAACAGAGAGATGTCAAAGGATCAAAGTTAGCACAACACGCAGAGAGTCCGGGTTGTTTTGTTATTTTCGATGAAAGCGTTATCATGGATAAAGAAAATCATTGGACAAGAAGAAAGAAACTGGAAACCGTATACACTATTGCTAACAAAGGGTATAATAAATGTAAAGGGATAAGCCCGCAGTGAAAGTCCACTATCATGAAGTGGGTCCAACTCAAAAGGGGGAAAAATTTTTCCCGAAAATAGACGAGTCAATCGTTAATTCTGTACAAACTACAAGTAGCACTACCACTAGTCACAACACAACGTATAGATATCAGAATACGAGCTATAGTTTACGCGAACAAAAGAGGAAAAAATTATAAAGAATGACTAAACAATTGCTATCCTTACACAAGTCTCTCTCTAATATCAAACTGCCTGACTTAATCTGTCCTTCAATATCGAGAGATATAAAATAACCTTTGTGTCTGTAAATATTTTAAATGCCCAATAGCTTGAGCTCCCCATACTCTCTCAACTAGGCTGACACACATTGAAAGAGCGTAAACACTCTCTCGTGTGCCACAATACAGTGAGGTCGCTATCGGACGGGTAATCCGATGCAATAGACTGTGAGTAACTTGTCCAAAGAAATTATATATGTGGGTGACGCTGAGATTCGAACGCAGTACCTTGTGGGTATGAGTCGAACAACTTAACCACCGAACTACGCCGGTCCTTGAGAGAGATATAAAATCAATAGATCTCGTAAAAGGAAAAAGAAAAAGTAAATAAAATAAAAATAGGCGAGTAACAATCTAGATGTTTCACAGCACTGCACGTAAAGCAGTGCAGTGTTTATTTGAGTGATTAATGATTAATGATTAATCTTAGTGATTAATGTGAAAAACAACCTTAGTTCGTTCATTTACTGAATCAGCATCACATTTATTCATATAGAGTACAACCAACAACTAGCTTAGCTGGCCATCTTGTAGGCCAGAAGAACCAAAAGGTCATATGAGTGATAATAGTAAAAGGTATTTATTTCTTACAACTAATGTTATATTAACTTGTTCAGAAAGTGGATAATTAACATCATCATTATTTTAATATTGGATACAGAATGTATTACAGCCAAATCGACCATCAGAAACATTATTAACGTTTGACTGCCAGCTCAATGTAATAACGATATGTATAAAGATTTAAAACATCTTAAGTAAAAAGAAATCAAAATAGCTTCAAGGTATTACGGTTTTTTGTTTCATGGTACTCAATAAAATATGAACGCATTTCCTTTTTGTCATTCGTCATAATAAACAGATGTACAATAAAAAAGAAAAAATATATATCCAAATGTAAATAAATTTTTCTCTCGAATGAAAGCGAATTTTAAATAAGGAAGTGAATCAGAAATTATTTTTTATTTCTTTTCACAATTTTCTCACTATTCTTATTGACATTATGAAGTATTTAATAGAAAGAGAATGATTGATATTTTAAAAAATATAGCTGTTGTTTCTTTATAGTCAGCTGTACACAGAACATGTAAAAATAATTTGTATTTGTCAAAAGTTCGATCGTTAGTTGTCATTCATAATGTTATTTCCTTTCTCATCAAATACTGACGATAATGATTCAAACATAATTGATTTACTATATGATTGCTGTAAAAAAAATGACATAGAAAAATTTCGAAAATTTTACCGTTTATTGGCAATATAAATATTATAAATAAAGTTCAAATTTCAACTGGTTCAACATGTTTACATGTAGCATGTTATTATGGACATCGAGATATGGTACAACTTTTGTTAGGATATGGTGCTGTACATTCTATAAGAAATTTACGACATAATTTAACACCATATGAAGAAGCTCATAGAGATGATATAAAACAATTGTTTGTAAACTTTGAACAACAAAAATTATTCTCAAATAATGATTATGATTATATTGAATGGTCAATGGTAGACAATGATCTCACTGAAAAACGAAAAAAATTTCGTCAATCTGTTGATTTATAGAAAACCTCTGATAATCAACATCATTTAGTATCAAAATTATTAGCTGAAGTTATTCATTATTACTTTAATGATTATCTGATGAATCAGAATAGTGGCATTGGTAATTCGGAAGATCAAATTAATCGTGAACAAATTGAAATTATTGAAGCATATTTTAAAGAAGCCATAGAAAAGCAAGATTATTTAACATATTTTATAAAAGCTTATACATTAACAAATTATTTTCATAAAATATTAAATAAACATTTGGCACTGTATATTTTAGAATATTTTGATAAAACAAAAGATTTTTCATCAAATTATCGTCTTGTAAATTGTCTTATTCACATTGTTACACTTTTAATTTATCATCCAAATTTACCTCGATATAAATATCAAGGTTTATGTTATCGTGGTATGAGAATAACACAAAATGATTTAGATCAGTATAAATTACATCATCATATATTAAATCATTCATTTTTATCAACATCCATTGATCGTCAAGTGGCTGAAATGTTTGCTGGTGAAGGTGAACAGTCTCAAATGAGACATACTCCTGGAGATAATCGTGCATTACAATACTCATGTTTATGTCAGTATTTAATAAAACAAAATTCAACAGCTATTGATACACAAAATTTATCAATGAGACCGGATGAAAAAGAAATTTTAATTATTCCCTTTACCGTTTTTAATGTAACAAAAATTAAACAAAATTATCTTGATGATTCAACAGCAGCAATTTCAATTGAAATTGAATTAGAAGAATGTGAAGATCCGAATGATAGTAAAAACGAGCATGAAAGTAAGACGCTTTTCTTCACGTATGAAACTAATTCTTTTAAGTCTTTTTGACACTTTCAGATGGTACAACATGTAGGATATCACCATTTTTATCATCTTATGATGACATAAAGAATGTCGAAGAATATGAAAAGTTTAAACAACGAAAAGGTCGTCTTTATGGCATCACTGGATTTTTGTTGTTGGCGATTGTTTTAGCTTTAAGTTTTACGTTTATTTTTATTTTTTTACGATTCCATGGAAAATACTACAAACCTAGCAAAAGATGATGATGTCAACCACCAATTACCAATCGGTAAAACAGAAACAATGACGAAAAGGCAGGCCAGAGAAGATCTAACACGCTAAAATACGAAACTTTTCTGAAATATATATTTTTTTCTTTGAAACAAATTAACAACGATAACTTTAGTAGTTAAAATTAACTCTTCTCTTTTTTAGCAATTTGAGTTACTGATTCAGAGTACAGATTCGATACTAAATTCACGAATTCTATGTTTCATAAGGCTCCGTGAAAAATGTAAAGTTGATGCCTCAGTGAACAGATTAATAAAACTTGATGAATTCAGAGTAAACTATTCTTTGCCAAAAAATACTAAAAAATGTTCTATTCTTTTTTTGAACAAGTACATAATAGACATGTTTGATGTGCATTTCTTGCAGGTTGTCCCAACATATTAAATCGATCTACTATCCATTTCAGAAAAGAAGAAGCACGGCCATTTCTTTGATAACTTTTCCTAAGAAGCAGCTAAAAAGGTGCGGTTTTCAGTATCGGAAAGCGAAATGTTGGGGTAATATGAAAAACTAAAAA